GGAAGTGGCTTCAGATTCTCATTGCTGTGCTTTAACCCGCTGCGCCACCAGGGAGGGCCTAAATGTAATTTTTTATAAATATAATTTTAATGATACAAACTAGCCCATTTTGTGGATATATTTTGGTACTTTAATATATCAAGGATGATCAACGAAGACTAGTGGTTTTGCCACAACTATGCAGTGACCATGTACAAGTTATTTAGTCTCTCTGGCTCATTTCCTCAAGTATAAAATTGGAATATTAGAATAGAATCATTTGTAGTTCTAATGTTATTTTCTGTTCAGTTTTGTTCAAGATAAAATGTGTTGATTAACCCATATTTCCAGGTGTTGTTGATGGTGATAGAAAAACAGTGCTTGCCTTCAAAATGGTTCACTTCTATTTGGTAGTGGGGTGTGTTGGGGGAGACTCACACATGATAAGAAAGGTGTTAGGGACCTTCACAGAAACTATGAGTACAAGGTGAGGCACCATCTTAGTCTGTTCAGTCTGTTATAACCAGATACTATCAATACAAATTGGTTGGCTTATAGATCACAGATATTTATTTGTCAGTGTTCTGTGGGCTAAAATTCCAAGATTAGAATCCTAACATGGTAGGTAGTATGTGGTTCTCTTCTGGGATTTAGACTTCTTGTGTCCTTACATGACAGAAAGGGCTGGTGGGCTCTGTGGGAACTTCTTTATAAGAGCTAATCCCATTCACCAATGCTCCACTCTTATAATTATCTGGGAAAGGTCCTCACCTGCTAATACCACCAAGTTGGGCAGTAAAATTCAAATATGTGAATTTTGAGTAGATACAATCTTTCAAACTGTAGCAAACATTGATTTCATACAGAGGATCAGAGGAAATTTCTGGAGGAAATCACACTAATCCTCAGTCTGACACAGAAGCACAAGTACGATTCCTTATGAATGCATAACAAGGAAATAAAAAAATGGCTTATCCTAAACTGCCAAATATAAACTATTTTACAGATGTGCTTCCTTCAGCTTCCCATGTGGCACCCAAAGAAACATTCACCTATGAATGGACTGTACCCAAGGAAGTGGGACCCACTTACAAAGACCCTGCCTGTTTATCTAAGATGTATTATTCTGCTGTGGATCCCACCAAAGATATATTCACAGGGCTTATTGGGCCAATGAAAATATGCAAGGAGGGAAGTTTACATGCAAATGGGAGACAGGTAAGCCAAACAGAGAACATTAAAATGATTTACTAATTTCTTTCAGTTATCATTATTACAAGGAAAATTTTATATTTGAGACCTCCAGGATTCTATACATAATCATAATGTTTATTATAATTTTTGCTGGTTTATAAGATTTATATTGTAATAAGATGTTCTAACTAGATTGATTGTTCCAAGAAGAATTGGAAGCAAGATTTTCCTTGGAATTCAATGTTTTTATGGTACAACTAGACTTTTAGACTTTCATAAATATCCTAAGTTTAAAAAAAAAAACTAATGATAAGTCATCTATCATTCACTGAGGAATATATTAATTCAATTATATTTTAGAAATGACTTTTTTAAAATTACATGACAGCTTATTTTTACATCCTTTGTGCCTTTTTCCATCCACATGGGTGAATTGGTGATAGAAGATAACTTTTAACCTAAAAATAATATAGCTCACTCCATCATTGATTTTTAACCTTAAAAAAAAATAACATGAACCTTTGAAAGATATAAACTCTTTTTAAATTCCTTTATCATAACTATCATGTCTTAAAATATGCATAATAATTCCTTAATATCATCAGTTATCCAATCACTGTTCACATTTCCCCAATTGTCTTTTATTTCATTTGTTGTTTGAATAGACAAGTAATACACACATTACAATCAATTAATATGTTACTCAGGATTATTTTCTTGTGTTTTTTTTCTGTTGCAAGAGTTATTCTGTTCAATGCAGATATGACTGCATTCATCAAGTCTCTTTCCATCTATTTCCTATAAATTGATGGCTAGATCATTAGGTTTGAGCTGATTCAGGTTAGATTTTTCTTTTAATTTTGCAAGATTACTTCCTATGTGGCACGTGGTATTTTTATCAGGGAGTATATAAAATATAATTGTGCCTCTATTGGAAATATTGTCAACCAACAATGACTATTCTAGAAGCACAAACCAATCAGGGGTTACATGGTGATTTTGTGACTGCATCATTGCTTATTTGTTTATTAACCAGTATACTTCTACACATGTATAGTATATTGGATTATTTGGTGACTGAGAGGTATGCAGTATATAAGGAAAACACAACTGCCTAATTAGATTCCTTTATAAATTTTCAAATCAGTATCTCTTTTTTAGAATACTACAAAGCTTCTTAATAACATCTATGTTTTGTAAGTACTCTTATGAAATCATAATTTAAGCATATTTGGCATGCTTCAATTCATTGTCATTAACCTTGTTAATATTCAAAGTAACATAATTTTGCCTCTGGGGACAGAGGGACTTATCAGATTGATTCCTTGAGGTTTATGTAAGGGGACTATAAAATCATTTATTAATTACACATGATAATATGATATGCATAGTTCGTTCCCATATATAATTTTATCTGGATATATACTTCATTTTAGACGTATTTCATAGGATTTGCCAATGATTAATAAACCATGACTCTGCTTGAGTGACCCTTTTAATGGTGAATTCCAAATCACAACACAGTAACTTTCAATTCAACTACACCAAAATTTCTGAAAATAATGACTTTTCTACCCAATCAGGTTGTAAGAAAATTTTTCAAATGATGCCTGGAATCACCCTGAAGGAATTCTAACTTTACAATGTTGAGGGAGTATACCAAGAAGACTTCAGAATAGACTAACTTTATAAGAACATTTTTACAAAGACACTATCATTCAGTGTCAAAATTCAGCTATTACCATTAGCAATCAATTTCACAATACAAAAAAAAAGGTATAAAAATACTTTAAAATCCTTTGTTGGAATACTTGATACTTTCCATGGATAGAAAATAACCTGTTATACAGCTAGTTACAAGCACAGTAGTGAATATTTTGCACATAAAGGAGTATTGTCTAAAATGTGTCTTCTTTGTAGTAGCTAGGCTTTAATTCCACTTTTCTTGGCTGAGTTCACAAATCTCTTGCCACCTGAAACTTTCCTATCACTTCTCTGATTGTCCTCTCCTGCTAAGCTTTATTTCTTGATGGACAATTAAAGCTTTCCACCACTGCCAAAGTTACTGCTGCTGGGCCAGAGCTTTTGCTGCCAACGTTCCCTCCTTCCATGGGCCCAAAATTTGAAGATCATTGCAGTTGCCAAAATCATTGTTCTTTCCACCACCTCCAAAATTGCTTCCATCACTGCCAAATCCTTTGCAGCCATCCCTAATGCTATCATATTTACCACTACCTGGGCTGCCACCAATGGGCTTGGCCTCTGAAGTTTCCTCCATGATCACAGTTATCATTCCAACCAAAGCCACCTTCATGACCACCAAAGTTTCCATAACTACTTCATCCACAAAGTACTAGCCATCTCTTACTTCATAGTTGTGGTAATTCACAATATGGTATTTCTAAGTAACAGTCTCCTCTGTGAAATCATTTGTCATCAAAGGTTACAAAAGCCAAGCCTCTTTTCTTGCCACTGCTTTCATCAGTTATGACTTCAATCACTTCAGTGTGCCCACAAAGCTCAAGATAATCTCTTACATGTTCTTCAGTGCCTTCTTTGATAATACCAACAACAATTAACACCAACAGTGACACCAGATCTTTGAGAATCTTCTCTTTCCACAGAGCTTTGTTTCCACAACTCTTCTGTCACCTTGTATGTCCTAGCATTCATGGCTGTGCCCACCAAATGTGAAAACCTCACATTTTTGTTTGAATGATTATTGTCTGTGTGCATGTACCGTTGTTTAAAATGTCTTCCCAGACACACATTGGTTAGTTCAGAACTTAAATTTCTGACAAAAATTTCCACACCTGTTCTAGCTCTTTGGAGACTCCAACTTACACATGATGGCTGTGGAAGAAAAGAATTTTTTAGTGCTTATTCAGCAGATACATGGGCAGAAAGGAACAGTCTAACCAGCCTATCTCAATTCTACTTTATACATGGTCTTAGGCTTTGAAATTTCTTTGACTTTTTATTATGACAAGCTATTTCATATTCATATTGCACAGTTTCTAAGCCAGACCTAGACTCAGAATTTCTCTTGCAAAATTCTTCATTCTTTTCAGTAAGATGTTACTTTTAGAACCACAATCCAGGCACTAGGGAAGTCATTACTATTGGGTTAATTATTGTTTCTAAGGCTTTGGGCCTGGAAAATTTTTTAAAGAAAAATTCATTAGTTTGTATTGATACTTTCTATTCAAATTCAGGTCAACATATTTTTATTTTATTTTTGTTTTCACTTAACCTCATTGTTCTTACATCTGTCCATTTAACTGTACTGAAAAACTTCTCAATAATAATGATATTTGCATTATTATCAGTAATTACATTACTGATATCATCCCACCATGTACAAACAATAGACTCAATTGAAATTATAACATTCCAATCAACAATAATATTGCTAAAAACAGTTTAAGATTTCTTTGTGGCCCTTTTTATCCTTAGAATAGGTAACACTGAGGATATTCAGTTTAATCACATATTTAAAATCACTTGCAATAATTCTTCTCTCTGTAATTTTGCTACCCAATGAATATAGATTTATTTTTTTCATTTTGCTTATTTTTAGGGATTGTTTTAAAAACTGTAATATTATAATTAGATAAAATATTACCTGGCTCCAACATCAAATCTACAAAAGTTTTTCATGGCTTAATGGCTTATTTCTTCTTAGACTATAATATCACACTATCTGGATGTGTCACAGATTTTTTATCCATCTACCTACTGAAGGACACCTTCATTACTTCTAAATTCTGACAATTATAAATAAAGCTACTATAAACATTCATGTATAAGTTTTTTGTGTGGACATAATTTTAATTCCTTTAGGAAAATACCAAGGAATATCTTCTAGACCGGATGACAGGAATATGTTTAGTTTTATAAGATATCACCAACTGCCCTACAAAATGGCTGTATTATTTTGCATTCCTATCAGGAATTAATGAGAGTTCCTGCACTCTACATCTTGCCAACATTTGGCACTGTCATTGTTCCAGATTTTGTTCATTCTAATAGGAGTGTAGTTGTATCTCATTGTTGTTTACATTTGCATTTCCCTAATGATATATAATGTAGACCATCTTTTCATATGCTTATTTGTCATTTATGTATCTTCGTTGGTGAAATGTTTGTTACAGTCTCTGCCCATTTGTTGTTTGTTCTCTTTGTTTTCTTATTGTTCAATTTTATTACTTTGGAAAACAATTCTTTATGCAGTGTTGCTTTTGTAAATATTTCTTCCTATCTGTGGCTTGACGTCTCATTCTCTTGACATCTTTAGTAGAGCATAATTTTTAATTGTAATGAAGTTAAATTTACTAACTCATTCTTTCATGGACTGTGCCCCTGGTGTCATATCTTAAAAGTTCTATCACCAAGGACATCTAGTTTTTTTCCTATGTTTTCTTTTAGCAGTTTTTATGATTTTGTGTTTCACATTTATATCCATTTTCTATTTTGAGGTTACTTGGTGAGAAGTGTGAGGTCTATACTAGATTCTTTTTTCTTGGGAGGGATGAGGGGGGAGTATGGATATCCTATTGATAGAGCATTATTTGTTGAAAACATTGTATTTTCTTCTGTCAGACATCAAATAACTATATTCATGTGGGTCTTCTCTGGACTTTCTGAAACCATATCTCCAAATAAATTTCAGAAGCAGTGTGTCAACAGCCACTAGTAATTTGCTGGGATTTTTATTGGATTGCTTTATATCTATAGATCAAGTTGCAAAAGATCGAAAACTTGCCAATATTGAGTCTATCCACAAATGTGTGAAATCCTTTTTAGACAGTTTTTTATTTCATTCATTAGAGTTTTGCAGTTTTTAAGTTCAAATTTTATGCATTCATTAATGACATTTAAGAAAGTGACTCATTTTTATATATTAACTTTATATTCTGCAAACTTGGTTTCATAGCTTATTAGTTACAGAAGATACTTTGTTGATTCTCTCAGATTTTCTACACAGATGATTGTGTCATATGTGAACAAAAATATATATCTTTATTTCTCTTTTTGTCTTATTAACCACAACTTTGAGTATGAAGCTAAGTAGAAGTGGTAAAAGAGTATGTTTTTGGCTTCTTGTACCTGATCTTAGTGACAAAGATTTGAATTTTTCATTTCATCATTAAGTAAATTGTTAGCTATAAGATTTTGTGTGTATTATTTATCAAATTGAGAAAAATTCTGTGTTCCTTGTATACTGAGAGTTTTTGTCACTAGTGATGTTGGTTTTGTCAAATACTTTTTCTCCATCTGTTGTTATAATGTGATTTTTTTTCTTTAACCTATTAATGTGATAGATTTCAGGTTTTCAATTTTTTTAAACTTTTTGGAAAGTTCTTTATTTTTTTGAAACTTTAAAAATATTTATTTGCAATAAATAAAATTATTTATTTATACCACTGTATATTATTTAGAGGAATAAGTTTGTATCTGAAATATGCATCACCACACCCCATCCATTTCAGAACATCCATATTAATTTATTTACTGCGTTCCTTCTCCACTTTGTTCCCATGCCTACCCTCCCTCTCTAGTGGCCTCAATGTGGTAATCATTTATGGATTTTTTTTTTTTTTGGTGTATTTCTCCCAGTTCCTTTGTTTCCTTCTCTATATTTCACATGAATAAAATCATTTAGTGTTTGTCTTTCGCTCTCTGATTTATTTCACCTAGCTCTATCTCTCCATATAATTGCAAATGGCAGAAGTTCATCTTTTTTTAAATAAATAGTATTCCATTGTGTATATGTATCACATCTTCTTAATCCAGTCATCTGTTACTGGAATTTATGTTTCTCCTAGCTTTTTATTGTAAATAGTGCTGCAATAAACATAGTTTATCTATCTCTTCAAAATAGTGTTTTTGCATTCTTTGGATAAATGCCAAAGAGTGGAATTAATAGATTAGATTGTGTGTGTGTATAAAATATTTATATATATATATGTATATATACATCCTTTTCTTCATACCCATGCCAATATTTATTTTTTCTTTTGTTTTTTGTTTGTTTTAATATGTGCCATTAACAGTGGAGTGAGGTGATATCTCATTGTGGCTTTGATTTTTGCTTCTCTAATGATAGTGATGCTGGACACTTCTTCATGTGCCTAGAAGCCATTTGTATGTAATCTTTGGAAAAGTGTTTATTTACCTCCTCTGCCCATTTCTTGATTATGTTCTTTGTTCTCTTTTATTGAATTGTATGAATTCTTTGTAGATCTTGGACAGTAGTTCTTTGTTGGATGTATGTTGTGCAAATGTTTCCTTCTATTCAGCAGGATGTCTGTGTCTGTTGCAGAGGATTTCACTGTACAGAGGATGTCAGTTTGATGTAGTCTCATTTGGTTATTTTTGTTTGTTTTTTTTCCATGCTGCTGGAAATGCATCCCCCTGAAGCAAATGTTATGGAGTGTCTTGATTATGTTTTCCTCTATGTATTTAGTGGATTCTGGTCTTACAACCAAGGCTTTAATCTATTTTCAGTTCATGCTGGGTGGGCATAGTGTGAGAATATGGTCTAGTTTGAATTTTCCACATATGGCTCTCCAGTTTTCCCAGTACAATTTATTGAAGAGACTTTCCTGTCTCCATGCATACTGTTAACTCCTTTATCTAAATTAACTGACCATGTAAATGTGTGTTTACTTCTGGGCTATCAACATTTCTTATAGGAGAGTTCCAGTGTTTACAAACTCCTTCTGCTTCTGTTTGTCTGCAAAGAGCCCTGTTTCTCTCTCATATCTAAAGGAGAGCCTTTCAGCATGTAAAATATTTCTAGCCACAGTTTTTATCTTTATTTATTTTGAATATGTCATTCTATTCTCTTTGCTGTTAGGATCTCCAAAGGTATTTCAGATATATGTCCAGTAGGAATGCCTTTTATTTTGCATTTTCATATTTATGTCCATTTATTATATGTTGACTGTACTCCTGGGACATAGTTTTTCATTTCTTCAGCTTCTTCAGTGTTAACTTTTTCTTCTGTGCAACTTCATCTTCCAGTTTACAGTCATCCCTTCTTCAGTAAGGATCATCGGCTAATCCCATCATGAGCTCCGTATGTTCGGTGACACATCTTGGGGGTTTTGTTCACCTGGATATGCTCAATGACCAGAGAGTACATCTGGATCCATAAATTCAGTATTACTCTGCATTCTTAAGCACATGTAGTAAAAATTCAGTACTCATGCAGGGTCATCAGCCCTGTGACCAGCCCCACTATTTGGCCTGGGCACCCCAACCAGATTCACCATAGAAATGGTGGAAGGACATACATTACTTGTATAGAGTGATATCTTTCAGATACTTGGTGGCTTTATAGATATGCATATGCATATCCTTGATAGTTTAGGCAGTTCCATAACTGCTTTAAAATGAATAAGAAGATTTAAGCCTCTTGATTTTCATGACTTTGCAGTGTTTTCTGGGGTCAAGAAAGTAGCAAAATATTTTTAAGGATCACCTAAAGCTGCTTATAGGAAGAACTTATGGGTTACTTTTACTGGTTATATGCTTATTTCCTTAACCAGTTCTCTGTTCCTTGCCTCTCTCTTCCCCTTTTGGGATACACATTTTTATGTTGGCTTTCTCAATGGTGTTACATAATTCGTGAATTTCTTTTTCCTTTTTTTTAACATCTGTTTCTCTCTCTTCTTCCACTAGGGTCCTTAGTGCATTATTTATCTTTAAGGTTATTGATTTGATCCACCATTGAAAAGTTATTCCCATAGCTTTTTTAAGAGTTCTTGATCTCTTTGCCTTTTAAGTTTTAATTATTTCTTATTGAATGCTTTAATTTCTATTATTGATTTTATGTCTGAGCTCATTGTTTTCCTGATCTTTTGTTATCTGTCTTTGATATTCTTTTATTAATTTTCTTCTATTTCTTTGCATTGCCTTTCTGAGTTTTTCTTCTACATGCTAGAGTTTCTTTATTATTATACTAGTTCTGAACATTCCCTATAGGGAAGTATAGTTTTCTATCTTTTTCTGTTTGGATTCTATAGAGTTGTTCTCACCTTGTGATGTTATACACTCTTGAAGTATTGCATTTCCACGTATCATATTTTTTGTCTTTCAATTTTGTTCTATTTTATTATTTTTAATGTTTTTAGTGGTAGCTTAAGGAGTTAAACTATTTTACTTTTTCTGCAGGTGGTTTGTTTGATTTTGTTTTGACCTTTGCTGTCTTTTGCATACTTTGGGATCTCTTTTGTAGTTACTGAGTCAGCAGGATGCAGGAGAGGCTTGGAAGTGTCCAGATATTAATATATATGAGTTGGAGTGGAGTGTTGGCTCCTATTTGAGGAACTTTCTATATCCCTCCTCTTTGGGGTTTGGGATGAGAGATTAAGCAGCCCCTGTGCTCCCAGTATTCCTAGTAATGTAAGCATTCTCCCAGAGCTCATGTGTTTTGAAGACTTAGGCTAAATGTCTTCTGAATGCTGAATCACTTTATAGATGAGATAGTATTTCTGCTTCCTTATTTATTTATTTTACCAGGGCCAGGGAGACAAGGAATGAGAATGTTTGTCCACATGGCAAGAGATTGTGTGAATTCCTGTTCCAGTTCACTCGATTGGTTATTTCTCTGCTTTGCAGAAATTCTTGAAGTTTCCATGAATGTAAATGACAGCTCCCCTGGTTTCTAGTATATTATTCCTTCCTATTTTAATTTTAATCTTTTTTTTGGACAGGAAAAATTTGTGTTGGCATGAAGGTAGGAAGAGCAAAGTTAGAACTTTTGTCACAATGTGAAGCTTACATTATCATGCTGAATGAAAGTTTACTACATAATAGTGAAAATTCTGGTTGTAAACTGGTGAATTTCATGAGTTCCATTTTACAAAGAAAAATGGACACTCAGTTCTTATCTTTACTTTGGTGCACAAATAGCATTGTGTACATGGAAGTCTTTCTGCTTTACTTACTCTCACTGTTTTGTTTTAATCTACAGAGAGATGTAGACAGGGAGTTCTATTTATTTCCTGCAGTGTTTGATGAGAATGAGAGTTTACTTCTAGATGATAATATTAGAATGTTTACAACTGACCCTGATCATGTGAATAAGGAAGATGAAGACTTTCAGGAATCTAACAAGATGCACTGTAAGTACTGTATCATCCATCAATCATGTCATTTCAGCATTATTCATGCAATAGTTTTAATAAAAGAACATTTTAATTGCTTTGCCCATTCATTTATGTTTTATAAATGGTTAAGCATGTTAGTGACCTTGGTAATATCATTATTTAATATATTTATCAATTACTCTTCATCTCTCTTAATTCAGAATAAAAAAAAATACAAGGTATGTCAATTAGATGCATGTTTCTTAAAATGTTCAATAGCCTTAGCATCATTTAGGACTTGTTAGAACTGTAAAGTCAACTGAATCAGAAACTTAGAGGAGGGGTCATCACCTTCACTTAACAGCCTTCCAGTTCATTTTGATATATGTTAAAGTTTAAGAAACACTGGGTTAGAAACTTTTCTCAACTATGTTTTAATAATAACAGGTTCATTTTATTATTTAATATAAAGAAAGTTATGATCTCTACCCTCAGTGACCTTCAGTGAACTTCCTTGACTGCACTTTAGAATTGATCCCCAAGCAGTTTTTAAAAACTGTTAATGTAGGCCCTCCCTGGTGGCACAGCTGGTTAAAGCACAGCACTAAGAAGCTTAAGCCATTTCCTCATGAGTTTGATCCCCGCCTGCCCCAAGGAGATCCACATGGCGGGGCAGACCTCTCCTGACCCACCCACTACTCCCCTCAGCAGTGTACTTCGTGGATCTGCCACTCTGTCCCTGGTGAATCCTCTCACCCTCCGCATCTCTGGCCTGTACCCCAGTTCTGTATGCATAAATAAATAAATCTTTTTTTAAAAAAAAACTGTTAATATATTAAAATTGCATTCTACATGCTCAACTCCAGAGCATTTAAACTATACCCTAAATGCTCAAATTCAGAGAGTTTAAGGTGTATTTTAAATGCTCAACTCCACTTAAAACCTAGCATGAGATTTGCTTTTTAGCTCCTATAAAATGCAGAAATGGTTTAGAGCTAGTGACTAATTATACAAAAATGCCCCTCCACATCACTAATGGAAATCACTTAAGAAAATCACTCTATCTAGAAGGAAATATATATAAATTTGGTTACCTGATGATGGGGTATTTTAAAGTTGGATTAATACTGGTAATATTGTCTACAATCTATAAAATATCCTTTTGGAAACTGCATTTTTAGTATTTTGAAGAATCAAGAATATTTTCTATTGAAAAAAGCAATTATTTTTCTATTGAAAAAAGAGCTATCTTCTTGCACATACCCCTGTTATTTAAGATGTAATATCTATCTAGAGAGCAAATGCATTCCCAGTCTACAGGCCCAGGGAAAAATCATTATTATCCATATATTTGGGTGTTCACAAGTATGTCTCCTGAGAAACTGAGAAGTGACTGAGTAGTGAGTTCCCCAGGGCCCTCACCTTTGAGAATGCTGCCTTTGTCTCTACTCCTTTCAGCTGGGGGTTACTCTGAAAGTGCTGCTGATATCCCTAACACATAGAGCAATTGGAAGGCCTGAGGTCTTCCAAAATTAAATGAACAGAGTTTGCTTCAGGAACTGGGAGATTGTCATGTAGAAGGACATAAGCCACTTTTAAAGTGTAATTTCTCAATTGTTATAGCCATGAATGGATTCATGTATGGAAATCAACCTGGTCTCAACATGTGCAAAGGAGATTCTGTCGTGTGGTACCTTTTCAGTGCTGGAAATGAGGCCGATATACATGGGATTTACTTTTCAGGACATACATATTTGTCAAGAGGAGAAAGGAGAGACACAGCAAATCTCTTCCCTCAAACAAGCCTTACACTCTTCATGCAGCCTGATACTGAAGGTATATTTCTTTCAAGTCAAATCTGTTCAATCATTTCGGGCAGCATTTGTTTAATCTGGTGTTGCTTGATAAATGCATATCTTCACTAACTTCCCAACTACCCTAAATCTATGGGTTAAATAATGTCAGGCAGGCCTTTAGGAGGGATGGCAGAGGGTGAGAAGAATGGGCTATGATTTCCCTCATTTCCACTCAGTAAAATTGTCAAGACATTCTCCTTTTAAATGATGGTTCTTTGAAAGGTAGCTGCAAATCTGACTAGAAAGGGAAAGACTGTAAAGACTGTCTGCATCTAAATGTTACATCATTTCTCTATATCCTAGATGTAATGTTTACTTATTGGGTATAGGAATTAAATGTCCTATGCCAGAACCCATGCAAATTTAGGGACACCTACATTCCTATGAATGAGTAAAAAAAAAAAAAAAAAAAAAAAAAAAAAAGAATTTTAACCAAAACAAGAAAGTGTTAACTTACTTCAGGCTTTATTTAGGTGTTTATTACACACTACAAAAGTCAAGTCCAGTGTCACCACTTCTCTTATTCATTAAATAAATGTAAATACAACTATAAACAAAAGAGAAAAGGTGTCTGCTGTCATGGAGCTGAAATTTTAACTCGGAGCAGACAAAAAGCAAGAATATTAACAAATATAATAAATAATTTATTAAGTGATTATAAGTACTCTGAAGAAAAAATAGGGCAGAGAACTGATGGGAGGAGGTGGGTAAAAATTCTTTGAGGAGGAGACAAAGGACTTTAAAATGAAAGGAAGATATGACTGACATGGATGTTTTGGGGAAACTGTTACAGGAATAGGAAACAGCAAGTTAGTGCAAAAGCCTGTGGCAGCCACATAGCTGACCTGTTCTAAAACAGCAAAGAGACCTCCCCATCAGGTATGGAAAGTCAGATGCTAAGATGATGGTTAGAACTTGGTGCTGATCTGGAGTAGGGGAGAGGTCATAGAAGGTGCCCAGCAAATGAGTGACCTGCTTATTTCCCCTTCCAGGGACCTATGACCTCGAGTGCCTCACAACTGACCACTATACAGGTGGCATGAAGCAAAAATACACTGTGAATCCATGCAGGCAACTGTCTGAGGCTTCAAAATCCTACCACCACGAGAGGACGTACTACATTGCTTCCGTAGAGGTGGAATGGGATTATTCTCCAAGCAGGGATTGGGAAAAGGAGTTACATCACTTACAAGAGCAAAAGTAATTATCCAAATGCTGATTCACATTTTTTTTTAGGTTTCTCTGTTGGAGAAGTAAGAATTGTGCAATGGTTTAGAAAAGCAGTTGCATTAAACAGTAACAAAAACAACAAAATATTCACTAGTTACCCTTCCTCATTAATTATGCTTTTCCTAAATTTCATAAAGGAAAACCACTCTTTACTCACATGATTTTTTTGTTCTCGTTCTTACTTTTTTTTTTTATTGGATTGTCTACTCACATTTGCATGTCCTTATCTTGTATTGTCAAGTTAAAACCAAAAAGAAAGTCTAGATTTCAGAGATAAAATATTATTTCCTTATCAACTATCTTCCTTCCCAAGATTATTAGTCTAGTAATAAGTTCACATTCTTAAAACTGTTATGAGGGAAAGAATATTTTAACTTTTTGAGAGCAGCAGAGCAGATATACTCTCTTTTTTAAGAACTGTCAGGAAAGTGTGGTTCAAACTTCAATTTAATATGTACATTGTAGAAATATGAAAAATACAGATGGATATAAGTAAAGGAACTTGATACTGCAGCATTGGAAATATTTCCTTTAGAGCAGTAACTGAAATACCTCTACTTAGATCTTTTTAACTATTCAAAGAACTGTCCCCTGGGCCTCACCATACACCCTCATGCACTGACCCTTCAGAGATATGATTTGAGGTCAGTATGGGGAGATGTTCAAATAGGGGGTGCATAACATGGCTGGCAACCTGTAGTTAAACTTAAGTTGGTTGATTAGTTTGACCACAGTGGCATGATTTTTGGTGCAGGGGAGTAAAGCTTTTTTTTTGAGTGATTGGGACAAATGCGTCAAAAAGTTACAGGAGCCACTAGGAGTCAATAGAAATGTTAGGTAAAGGGAGGTGCTGGGGAAATGGTCATTTCAGTGCCTAGGTCATTGCACTATTCAGAGAACACTTCACTGGAGCTAGCTAGACTCATAAAATTTTAGAGCTATAAGAAAATTTTAGATTATCTCATTAATATCTCACTTTAGGAGTATAGAAACTAACAATGAGTAATTTTTGCCAGTGGCAGAGTCAAGGCCAGAACCTAGATGTGTCCACTGTTAGTTAGATGCCCTTACTACAACACGTCTTTTTTTTTTTTTTTTTTAAGATTTTATTTTATTGTGCATACAGAACTGGGATACAGGCCAGAGATGAGGAGGGTGAGAGAATTCACCAGAGACAGAGTGGAGTGCAGAACAGGCAGATCAATGAAATACACTGCTGAAGGGAGCAGCGGGCGGGTCAGGAGAGGTCTGCCCCGCCATGTGGTCACCTCTGGGGCAGGCGGGAATCGAACTGATGAGGAAGCGGCCTTAGATTCTCAGTGCTGTGCTTTAACCCACTGCGCCACCAGGGAGGGCCCACATGTCTATTTTTAATGTTTTATTCTTATAGGATGGGAGTGACATTAAAAACTACCATAGTCATTTTAATAAATACCATTTTTATTCAAATTTAAAATTCAACTTCCACTTTTACCAAGATAAATACTAATCATGTGTGTGTGTGTGTGTGTGTGTGTGTGCAAGTGTTTCAAATGTATTTTTAGATAAGGAAGAATTTTACATTGGTTCAAAGTACAAGAAGGTTGTGTATCGGCAATACACTGATAGCACATTCAGTGTTCCAATGGAGAGAAAAGCTGAAGAAGAACATCTGGGAATTCTAGGTACTCTAACAGCTTCAGTTCTTCAAATGCAGGCTAGTGATGTGCTATGTATAATGATAATTCGTGACTATCAATTATTTTTTTCTGTTCATGTATCAATATCATTTTAGAAATTAAAAGTCAAACTTATTCACTAAAAACAAGTATCCTATACTTACTAAAAAATGTGACACATTTGGTGTTCATCAAATTGATGCATGTAGTTTTAATAAAATTCCCAGAAATTTTCTAATTAAAATGCTAATCAAATTGTTACATCCTCCCCAAAAAGAGCAGTTACTTGCTTTTAAAATTAAGATGTTAGTGATTACTTCCCAGGGAAAAAAAAGTTCATATAAAGAAGGAAAAAGAAAGAAAAAGTTCACAAGGCTGGGGAAAGCTGTCTTCAACTTTCAAGGATCACTTTAAGACAGAATGTATGACCAGTGAAGAGTGGTTAGAGGGGAGAAAAGGAAAAGGTAGCTCCATATTTTCAAAAGCACATTCAGTAGGTCTGGAGAAGCAAATGCTGAGGAGAGAGAACCAGTGCTCTTGACTTCTGCATGGGGGGAGAGGGGAGGAGGCGGGGTCACAGCTAATGAGGAGGGTGAGGCCCCACAGGAAACTTTCAGGCCAAACCCTTCCTAGGATTCTCAATGGGAACCCATGGTCTCAACCTTCAGAGGCAGCGATTGGTATTTTTTAATCTCAAATCCTCCAGCACTAGGTATAAATCAGAGTGTGCTGCAGCATGCAGCTTTGGGAGGCAGGAGATGTGGAGGCAGAAACAAATGCTGCTCGTATTGCTAAGTAAGAAAGCTATCTGATGCTTTTATGATGGAGTTAGACTTTCCTACTTGACAGGTATCTAAATTCCTCCTCTTTCTTACTCTTGCCAGGTCCACAACTTCATGCGAACGTTGGAGACCAAGTAAAAATTATCTTTAAAAACATGGCCACAAGACCCTACTCAATTCATGCCCATGGGGTGAAAACGGACAGTTCCACAGTCGCTCCAACTTTGCCAGGTACTTGAGAAAGCAACAGGGAAGACACAGTGTCATACACTTTTCACAGCAACATTCATTAGAGAGATGTGCCTTTCCAATGAGTATGCCTTGGGGATGTAAAGGAGGTGGTTAAGAGGGCCTGCAGGGTGATGTGTCTTTGTGTCTACACACACACACATTCTCTAGGAAAACTGTAAAGAAAGAAACAATCTGAGGCTACTGGCCATCTACAAATGCTCAAAGATGAGAAAAGAGATGATGTCTCCATACTCAGCTATAACACATGTAATGATTTATCTGCTGCATGAGTCTGGATGCTTCCACATGTTTCCCAAAATAGGGTCCTGAAGGGCAGAAGGTGGTGATTAGATTTTTAAATCCTACATTAGTATAATATCTGAAATGTACTGAGCTTGGTGTATTTTATTAAGACCCAGTAAGGGCCTTCCTGGTGGCCTGGGGATTAGGTCTCAGCACTATCATAATTCCAGCCAAAGTTCCCCGAGTTCTATCTCCACCAGGGAGCTAACTCATATATGACGGAGCAGACCTCTACTGTCTCGTCCAGTGCAATCCCTTAGCACTGTATTTCAGTAGATGTGCCTGTTTTGCTCCCCACTCTGTGTCTGGTGACTCTCTCACCCTCTGTACCTCTGGCCTAAACCCCAGATCTTCACTGCAAAAATAAAGAGAAAAAAAAAGTGTAAAAGCTGAAATAAAATACATAGGTATGTAACTTCTTTAATTAAAAAAATGCATTTCTTTCTTTTATATTAAAGTTGATGTCCAGAAAAGGACCATTTCTCAGTAAATTATCAATTTCCAAATATGTCAAATAGAAAAAAAAAGTAGTAGTTGTTCATTTTGGGCTCTGGAAGTAAAAAATACAATAGATAGATAGATAGATATCCCTGCCCTGGGCAACCTCACACTCCTCTGTCGGAGACCAGCTCCAACTTTTGAGGTGTCTGGAGGCAACATAGGCAGAACCCTAAGATGGGAAAGCGTAGGTGTGCGGAGTTTCCAAGAGGGGGGAGAGGAGCGGGCGCGAGGAAGATGGAATTGGGTGCAAATCTTCCTGCTCTGCCTTCAGCAGAGGTTTATTTTATACATTTCAAGCAGGCAGGGGGGTGACATTAGCATATGAAAGGGGTTGAGATCACAATCACCTTTTTTCTAAGAGTGGTCTGGGGTCGTTTTGACCTTTACTTGAAATTATAACATTCTAAAATCAATCAAGGTTAAAAAACAGGTACATAGGTGCACAAAGTTTAAGACTAATATTACTATAGTGAAGATTGATAAAAATAAAGTCCTTTAAACCTTACCTATTACTTGATGGTTTTTTCTACCTGAAACATCTTGGGAGGCAGGAAGAGGAAATTTCTTGCAAATCAAGTTTCCAAAAGTTCTTTTGAAGAAACTTGCTAAAAGATTTTAAGTGAGTTTCCTTGAGGTCTAGACAGTAGAAAGCATAATTTGCTCTGAATAGGAGACATGGGTGAATTTCCTTATCTAAAGACCAGATAGTAGAATCCTGAAAGACTAGCTAGAAGACTTTGTGGATTGCTTTGAGGTGTAGAAGGTAATAAAAAGCTTGACTAGCTCTAAAACAGGCAACCTGGATGAATTTCCATAACTAAAGACCAGACAGTAGGAAGTTTGAGTAATTCTTGTAGAAACTGAATAGAAGGCTAGGTGAGATAGTAGAATAAGATTTGGGTTTTCCTCCATCAGGCAGTGAGAGACTTTGCAGAAACTGCCCTTTTGCTTTTATTGATCAGCCAGGTGTCAAGTCACTTTTGACCAGAGGAATTTCTCACCCTGGTGCAGTGCTTGCTTGTCAGGGCAGACAAGCCTTATGAAGCTGAGGCAATCCAATTGTAAGCTGAAAGTTGCTCAGAATATTTTGATATTACGATTATACAAAAAAGGGAGGTCATAACATAAGTTAGCGTGGAAAGTCTGATTTTTCAGAGCAATTCCCCTCCATCCATACCGTATCTGACGACAGAGGTTGCATAGCTTGTGTCACTCCTCCAAGGGAAGGAAATTTATATTTACAAAATGTAAAAAGTGCTATGAAAAGTATTAAAGTGGATGAGAAAGTAAGGCAACTATTTTAGATAGGGTAGTTAGTCAGGAGGGCTTCTTTGAGGAGGTGACACGTGAAGATTCCTAAATTATGATCAGTAATGAACGACAAGGAGTTGTGGGGGGAAATATTCTAGGTCCTGGGCTTGCTGTGCATGAGAAACAGAGAGCAGGCAAGAGGCCAGAACAGAGCAGACAGGGGACAGAAAATGGCATGAATTTCAGAGAGACCAGAGTACTAAAAAATGTAAGAGTTTGAACTGGAGAATGATGATCTGATGAACACTTGTTAAGTATTCTGGCTAGTGTGTGGGTGTGACTATAGGGGGCTGAGGACAGAATCAAGGATAGTTAATGAACTACTGAATAATCTGAGTAAAACAATAGCAATATCTGGATCAGGGTGGAAGCAAACTAAAGTTCTGCTTCTTTTTTTGAAGGTGTTGCTAAGAGGACCTGCTGAAAGATTGGGCATTAGGGAATGTTAAGGAAGGAAGAGTCAAAATAGACTTCCAGGTTTGGAGTTTCAACCAGTAGCAGCATAGGAGGTGGGGAGAAAATTAGGAAATGTTTATTTTGTGGTTAGCAGAATGATGAGTATAGATGGTGGGAGAATACATTCAGGTGGTGAATCAGCACTTCATAAAATCTAGCTCTTGCTTTGAGAGTATCCTTCATGCACAAAGAATACTAGTGATATGTAGGTAGATCAGGGATAAAATAACGATTGCAGAGTGGCTGTGTTCAAGAGTCAAGTCTTCTAAGAAGCTGTATAGGAATCCCAGAGGTTACTAGCAGTGGAAATAGAGGTGGAGAAGACCCAGAACAGATGAAAGAGGAAAGGACTGCCACCTTCAAAGTGTTGCAGTTCAGGTCTGTGTGGGTGACAGAACAGGGTATGGTGACAGGATGCGATGTACTAGAAAGAGGTCATCATGACAGGTCAGCAACCCATGAGATCAAGAGAGAAAACTGCTCCAGAAATCGTGCAACACCTGAGGTAATAGTAAAAAAAGGAGAAAAGGAAAGACATGCTGAAGCTGAGGGAATCACACAGAATAATTCAGATACACAAACAGTGAAGATTGAGGGGAAAGCGTTAGTCACTAGGGGAAGAAAATCAATTGATTTTTCCAGTGTAGAGAAAAAATTGTATTGGGGCTAATCACTTTAAGCTGTTTACCTGTTGCAAAGTGTATCCAGACTGATATTGCAATTGCCAACTCCTGCATTTGTGAAATGGCATGTGTCCTGGCTAATTAAATAACACAGAATTTAGAAAAGTATGTCTTACTACTTTTTTTAATTGAAGTAATTTATAACATTATATAGGTTTCAGGTATACAGATGTACATCAACATCTATATAGACTATCATTCTCATCCCCCAAAATCTAAAATAAAAAATCACATAAAATTGACACCTTTTACTCAGTTTTCCACTTCTCTTCCCCCTTCCCTTTCTGGTGACTATTGTTTTTCCTTGTAGTCTAAGAATTTAACTAATTATCCTGACAGTCCCAGTACCTGGGTCACTGTTTACCAAGATTTAGTGTATATATATATAAAATACAGTCCAAATATAACTAGATATATTAATGTTTGATGAACTTAGGTGAAACTCACACTTACATATGGAAAATCCCAGAAAGATCTGGAGCTGGAACGGAGGACTCTGCTTGCATACCATGGGCTTACTATTCAACTGTGGACCGAGTGAAGGTAAATTTTAAATCACTTGTGTTTTGTAAAAATTCCCCCAAATAGACAAGCAATTAAATGAAGGTGGGTTTAAATGAAGATGGGTTAGAGTCTTCCTAAGGTTCAATTCTATATTATCATCCCAGGGAATTATGTTGCTCTACAACTCACTTTGTAGAATTCACTTTTTCATTTGTTTGTAAGGATACAGTTATAATGTGAATGCTGATTATGTGTAACACATACAGTGCTTAACACAGTGCTTTATTTCCCTTCACATATAAAAAAATACATTAAACTTAAAAAACTGAGGTACATTATTGAAGTATACATAATAAATGCTGATCTCGGCAGGCAATTACAGTAAATTCAGCCACTTTATTAAATAACTTAAAGCCAGCACTCAAGTAGAAGCCAGGAAATGTTCCAAGATTCTTTTCCAAATCTCTCCTCAGTGCCACACTGTATAACTTCCAATGGGACATGTCCACCATTAATAGCCCATTGGCACAGGGAAATTGGGATTTTCCCCATTTCCTATTGTAAGAAATAGCACAAAAACCAAAAAGTCAACTCATTTCTTCATGCTAGAACCTTAATGCTAGAACCCTGGACATGAAGTTTATGATGCCCCAGACTCACCCAGGTAATTCTCCTATTACAGACAACTCAGTACATTCCATATCTCCTTCTCCATAGGTCTCCAATCTCTTCCCTCTCCTTCCTTCCTTGACTTCACCAAAATTGGTTTCAAATGCAAATATGCTGCCATTCCTCACAACTTTTCAATGACTGCTGTGACACTTTCTCTATGACTGCCTATAAGAGAAAATCAAAATTTCCTGAACAATATACAGTACAAAAGCCAAACCAAATTTCCCATGAACCTAAGCCACTTATACTATTCTTCCTCTGTGCCCACTAGCACTTTATGTATCAGGGCAAGTGGTTCATCTCCTCTATTTTACCTACTGAACCAAGTTCCTGGAGAACAGGAACCTGGTTTGCTCCATCTATGGGTTTCTAGTAACTAGCATGGTGCAAATCAACAATGTTCATTCTGAGTTTTTTAAAATTGCTGCTCTTTAAACTGAGCCATCTGGCCTCTGTGCATATTTCTGTTACTTTAAAATTACCCACCCATAGGACCTACCTATATTCACTGCTGTTCAAGTTAACTACTCGCTAACAAGTTGTTAACTACTCGGTGGCAAGTTGTTACTTGTTACTGCTTTGGCAGCACAATAGGCAATGTCTACTGCTTAAATCAGTCTCTCAAAAATTCCTGAGGTTATAGACAATGAGGGCAAAGTTCTCTGAAATGTGTCACCAAGATGACTGAAATTTTTGCTTGTTTCCAGGATCTCTATAGTGGATTAATTGGCCCACTGATTGTTTGTCGGAAACATTACATGAAAGTTTACAATCCCATAAAGAAACTGGAATTTTCCCTTCTGTTTTTAGTTTTTGATGAGAATGAATCTTGGTACTTAGATGACAACATCAAAACATATTCTGATCACCCTGAGAAAGTAAACAAAGATGATGAAGAATTCATAGAAAGCAATAAAATGCATGGTATGCCACATTTTTTTTTAAGCCTAGTTTTATCCTATTCTTTAAAATTACACTGGAGACACAATTTGCTTCATTTTATAATAAACTACATGTGCCTCATTTTGTATGAGGTAGAACTTTGTTCAAAGCAAAAAGGGAGACTATGTTCAAAATTGTCTGCTAACTTCTGTCCCAATTTCCTTAAACCTTGCACCCTGTCCAGTCAAAACTCCTTGGAAATTTCCTTGATTTGACTTCTCAGTTGACCTCCTTTGTTACTCCCTTTCTTGCCCTTTAAATTAGAATTAAGTCTGTGTTTACTAGAAAAGCAAGATATTGTTGACCTTGAAGAATCCATTTCTCCCAACTGCAGTACCTCAAAAAAATCAGTTACCTCAAAAAAATCTCATTCATTTACACAGTAATCATATTTCCTGTGAAACAGTTATGAAAGGTATTATAAAGTATCATGTGTCCACAGCTATTAATGGAAGAGTTTTTGGGAATCTACAAGGCCTCACAATGCACGTGGGTGATCAAGTCAACTGGTATCTGATGGGAATGGGCAATGAAGTAGACTTGCACACTGTACATTTCCATGGCCATACCTTCAATTACCAGGTAAGCGCCACCTATGGTGGTTATTATTAATCTATGTGATCCCTTTTTAATACAAATAAAAAACACTTCCTCAGGGACACAGGAGAAATTGAAAGTTTGAAAAGACAACCAAGTTACTTTCTAAGAGATGACACCCAGTGATTTCAATTGATATTACACTGACTTTTTTGTTACACCTTGGATTATTCTATGGATTTGTAGCTTTTACTGCATTTTTCATGAGCTCTGCTCACATATTCCTAGGTGAGGTTTTGAATGGGGTTGTTAGGAGAAATGTAGAATGTTCACATAATGATGGCTCAAAGTGTAGACATTATGAGAACTTTTGCATGTTCTAAGTAACTTTTGGATACTAAATGAACAGAAGTAAACAAGATTATCCAATTGTCTTCAAGACACTGCTTGGCACCTAGACCTCAACCATGCCTTCACTTCTCAAACCATGATGATTTCAGCAGGAATTAATAGGAATTATACCCTCTTGAACATGTTTTCTACTTTCAATACAAAATTGAGAAGCTACTTAAGAAAGCATATTGCTGGAGATGATTTTATTGTCCATATTTTGTTTTAAAAAAGATGTGCTTTTCTTAGTGGACTTTCAATTCTATTCCTGTAGAAATATCTTCCCAATAGTTTGTCTAGTCAAAATCTTCCTGAAATGCCTCTACTTTGAGTTTTCAACTGACCTCTTTTGTTGCTTCCTTCCTTTCCCTCAAGTTTCAGTGATAAACTAATCAAGGATAAATTCAGCAAGTGAGGCTAGAAATTAAAGGGGGCCACAGGTAAGCTCCTTTGTGTAACTCAGATGCTCTGAAAGAGAAGCAAACCAAAGTGAGGACATAAGTCAAAGTGTAAGGGTAACAGATGACCCTGATTGCTAAAGTCACTCTTGCCACATCTTTCCTCCATGCCTACTCGATAGCTCAGAGGGCAAAGTTCAGCAGGAAAACACGGGTCACACTGTTTATATTAAACATGGAAAAATGCAAGGTCTCATATTTTTTTATACAGATCAATTTTTTTCATATCCATGAACTTGCCAGTGAAATGCTTGATGAACTCTCACATATACTAAACATTATATAATATGCATTCTATTTGTCATTTTTCTAATTAGCACATGGGCGTTTATAGTTCTGATGTTTTTGACATTTTCCCTGGGACATTCCAAACCATACAAATGTTCCCGAGAGAACCTGGAATCTGGTTACTCCACTGTCATGTGACCGACCACATTCATGCTGGAATGGAAACTACTTACAGTGTTCTGCCTAGTAAAGGTAATTCCCACTGAGCAATTCTAGAAATCACTACTAATATAATTAAGATGTACTAGTTTACTTAAATATATATATGCACTATCTCCTCAATATGAGGCATTTGTGAATTTAATGTAGATTTCTTTCCTCATTCCAAACAAGACTTTTTATTAATACTGCTCTTTTTCTGACAGCTAGTATTAATAATAACACCAATAGTTTGCAAGCTAATACAAATAGCACCAATTTGATGTTATTATACCTAACACAGTAAAAAGGGCTAGTTTTACTATAAAGGAATAACCATGACTCAGAAGACAAAGAGAATATCAGGTCTTTCTTAATAGAAATGTTATTTTCTAGGTAGTACCCAGTATACAAGAAAGCTCCCAGACCCCCAAACAAATGTAATTTCAAATAGGCAATCAGGCAAAACAGGGTCTTCCTGTGCTTCTGAGGGGAGAGGAGACATTAATGGTTATTGTCTTAGTCCATTTTTGATGCTGTAACAAAATACCAGACTCGTATTTTGAAAAACTATGGAAGAACCTAATGTTATTTTCAGTTCTAGAAGCTGGTAGTCTGAGATTGCTGTACCAGCATGGTAGGGAAGTGCCCTTTTCTGGGTTGCCAAGACACTAGCTTCAGAGGGTAGAAGGGACTGATTAGCTCTCTGGAGTCTCTAAGAAATATCCCACTAGTCTCATGACCTAGTCACTTTCCAAAATTACCACCTCTTAATCCTAATACCATCACCTTGAGCTTTCAACAGATGAGTGGGGGCAGGGGACAAGCACATTTGGCCCACAGCAAAGACCCAGAAAAAAAAAGTCCCACATACCCCAGCACTCCTCTTCCCTTGTGGGCATATGCATGAACATGAGCATGCAAAAAACACAAAATAATGAACCCTCTGATGAAATATGATACATGAAGAGTGAGACTCCTGTCTTATGGTTTCGGGTTTCACTCTTTCCTGGGTATTCTGCATTCAGTTTCACTGATATTGGCAATGACAATATCCAAGATAGGGCAGTAATATAAAGACAGCAACACCTGTGTTTCCTCCTCAAATAGGCATAAAAAGTAAATGAATGAAATATAAACACATACATTTCAAAATTAAAAATCACCAAATAAACAACCATTAGTGAAGATGAAAAGTCTTAAATTCTGCCTCTGGGTCTTGCATTAATACTAACATGAACCACTTCTAAGTCTCTTTACTACAAAACAATGGGACTGAGAGCACCCAACACTACAGACTCCAGCAGCTACAGAAAGAAACCACTGACTGAGCTTAAATTCAGGAACTGTTGAACAAGGTGAAGAGTCAGAGACAAAAAAGGAGACATTAGTGGTTATATTAGCACACAAATAAATTACACAAATAAAAGGACAGTCCTGCTCAGAAAAATAATTACAAGTGAAGGACTACTAGGTAGGCAATCTGCATACACCTGATGGGCAGAGCATGCTGTACAGGCTGCTCCCACACAGACGATGAAAAGATTCCTTGGGTATCTGAGTATAGAGAGAGTAGAGAGAGATGATAGTTTGATTCAGGAAAGAGAGATTATTTTTAAAACATGGAGAAAATTATAGAACAAATACAAATGTGAAGGGAAAACTCATGATGAAAAAAAGAGATTAAAGTGTGGCAACAGAAAAGAACAAAAATAGAGCAATGTACAAAAAGGAGAGTACATAGAAAAATGGGAAGAAACATTTACTAGTCTGAATTATCTTTAAGTAAAGGATTGATGCAACTTTGGGCAAGTTTACATGAATTTTCAGTTTGTTTTTTTTAAGATTTATTTATGCATACAGAACTGGGGTGCAGGCCAGAGGTGCAGAGGCAGTGAGAGGATTCACCAGAGACAGAGTGGGGAGCAGAACAGGCAGATCATAGAAGTACACTGCTGAGAGGAGCAGTGGGTGGGTCAGGAGAGGTCTGCCACGCCATGTGGATCACCTCCAAGGTTGGGAATCAAACTCGTGTTTAAGTGGCTTTTGCTTCTTAGTACTGTGCTTTAACCCTCTGTGCCCCAGGGAGAGCCCAAATTTTGAGTTTTGTCATGTGGCTACCATGACAGACAAAGAGTATAAGAGGTTAGAATGAAGGGTTCACCTATCATACACCAGAGGGCAATTTTTCTACAAAGAAAAATAAATCATTAGAAAAGAATGATGGATATGGTGTCAGACTTAATGTTATACTTCATTTCCCCAACCAGAGGAAGCATGGTAGACCTATGTGGTTTGTAGACTGCCAACATTTCTGATAGGCAACATTTTGGGACAATTTGTAGGAAAAGTTTGCTTTAAGTTCCTTATAGGCAGAGTCTAAATAGTCTCTATTTCTACCAAGTACCCAAACTCAATATAATAATTCTCTGCAGGTAAATTTCTGAGCATTTAGTTGTGCCAGCAGAGTCCTAAGAGGGCCCATTGGAGGGCTGGAGACTTTTTATTATATCCTCAAAGGGTAGGAGGAACAAGCTAGCTCTCTATGTCCTCTTTTTATAAGGGTGTTAATCTCACCGATAAGGGTTCCCAGTCTTATGCCCTCTTCACTTTCCACCATCACCTCCTAAATACCATCAGTTTGGGCATTAGATTTTCAGTATATGAACTGGGACACTTGGGAGGTGGGGGAGAGAATACTAAATATTGGGCAATTTTTTAAATAAGATTCTCATAGAAGTGATGTTTTATTTTGCTTAGTACACCATGTTAGGGGACACAAGATATTAATTTGTTCCTTTACTGGTTATGTTAATATGTAAGTGAATCAATCAAGAATCATTAAAATAACTACCATTCTAAAAATTAGAATAGATTTAAAGCATCACATCCTAATTTTTCAAATGACATTATACACACACACACACATAGATATATACATATATATCCTATTTTTAATAATGGTCTTAAACTTTCTTCTTCTAGAGAGAGACACCAAGTCTGGCTGAAAGAAATAAATTGGGATAAGTTGGAAAAAAAAAAAAGAAAAAACTGAATCATAACAATGTGTGTGAAATTGCTGAACGTTTACTTTGGAATGGCCATAAGCATTGAAAAGGACTGAAAACTTAAATGTGACTCTGTGGGGAAAACCATTACTTTGTTACACATGGAAACATACTTAACTGTATTATGAGAAATGCTGACTAATACATTATATAATGAAATTGACTCATATAAACTGTTCATACATTCAATATACAAAACTGTATTCCGAAAAAATTTAAAAACAACAAGTTACTGTCCTAGATGGTCCTGAAAGGACCACTACTGAGATTCATTGCCTTTCCATCATAGCTCTAACATGCTGTTGACATCATTCTTTGAACCAGTAAGCATAGGGCACAGATGAAAGGGAAGTAAAAATTAAGTTTAATTTTTTAATTAAAAAAATAAAATTTAAAACAACTACTTTAAAAATTAAATTAACCACTACTTTGATTTAAAAATTAAAATTAATAAAAGCCAAAATTAATTGACAAAAATTGTATGAATAAAAATCAATAAAATCTGAAATGAATTAATTTAAAGAAATTATATGAAGTAAAATGATGCCAAACTGAGTTTTGAGTAACCATGAAGAGATGGCCAAAAGATATTAATCTGAACTAGGAAAAAAGTTGAGAGTCAATTCTATATGAAATCCTGATCAAGATGAGTATTGCCATCAGGAGAAAAGTTAAAAATATATTTGAAAAGTTAAAAATATATATTGGGTGAGTAGAATTTTGCCCAGGCTCAAGTATCAAAGCACACTTTCAGTGAGCTGTACTTGAACTAAAAATTCTTTAGTAAGAGGTTAAAAAAGAAGACTCAGTGGTGAACTCAATGACGTATTTCCTTATTTTTATACATTCTCTGAAAGAGCAGATACACGGAAACAAAGCTTTGGCTGAAAAACATGGATTCAACAGATCATGTTAGCCAGAAAAGAAGGTAACTTTGTAAACTCCACTTTATTTTATTCAGAGAGAAATACAGCAAGAGTTTTAAAAATAACAAGAAAATAAAGTTTAAAATCTTTAATGTAGCAGAACATGAACATCGTATGAAAGAAACATAAATATAAAAATCTGAAAAGACAATTCTGGGCCACAGGGAGTGACATTTTTTCAGTGCATATTTGCAAAACATTTGTGTTCCTGGGATAAAGAAAACTGTCCAATCTTCAGTAACAGTGAACTGATGTTCCCTGGAATAAACAGTAGGTCTCCACCTTGGAAAAATAATATGGCTTCTTTGAGCAAAGCATTAATGACTTGCGCTTTTCTACAATCTTGACAATTAAAATAGATTCAGGTCTTAATTAAGAAATGATAATACCTCTACATGGTAGGGAAGCAACTTGAAAGCACTGGTAATATAAATACATATTCAATATGAAAATCTTCTATTTATATTTTTACCTGGCTTTCAATTTTTAAATTCACTCTCATACACCAGTGTGGTGTTTTCAAATGACATCTTCAGGTCAATGATTTCTTTCGACTGCAGTAAAGAAGATACGGCAAGAAAAATGCTGCAGTGCCATCTTCTGGAAGGACACTCAAGAAATCCCTCAGTTCTAGTTCCACAGCAACAACGGACAATGTTTCTGTTTGTAGGGAAGAAAATCTGGGTCATTCAGAACTGACTCTTGTCTTTCAATCAACTAATTAGAAGCTAGTTCAACTAACAATGTATTACAAAAGAAAGATACCAGTCTTTTAAAATCCATAGATCATGTTATTTTTACAACTTAATTCTTTCTAGAATTCTTTAAGTTGGGATTTCCTTACTGGCTTATTACATTGTTTTTCAATGGATTTCTATTATCCTCTAAAGAAAAATGGACTTCTATTGTTAATGTTAGAATTTTACTGTAACTGACTCTAGTTTATAAAGACTGCTTGCTAGGATCAGAAATACTATTAATTATGGAACACTTTCTAAGTCACTCTGTCTGAAATTTCATAAACCTCAGCATTATAAAAAAGTAAAAATCTGCACTTATGACCATTTATCTTTTTTTCCCAAGATGCAAAATAATGGGCTCTAGTAAACAAGAGATTTTTCAAGATTCAAGAATTTAATAAACACTTTTGTAAAGATAATATTGCAATTTATAATTCCATTGCTTAATACACACATGCTGCCCTCTGCTGAGAGGTGTGACACTTAAGAACAATGTTCCCAAACAAGCATACTCGCATGCCATTCCCTGTGATCCAAATATGCCCATCACTTACTCTAATTGCATAATTACTAGAATAGTATAAAATCTTCTGCTCAGATATGTACATCCACCCAAAAGCATCTGGCCAATAGTCAGAAACAGAATATCCTTTACAAAATAGAATGGCATACCATCATTGCTGAAGTTAATGAAATAGCTGTCAACTATGGGGAAAGATCCCTACCTCTGAAATGAGCCAGACTTAAGGAAAGACAGGCTCTTCTGTATACTTTCTGGTGACTATAAGAAACTCACTTAAACTCCTGAATCCTACTTTCCTCTTCTGTAAGGTAGAGGTACCATCTACTATCTCCCAGAGTTCTTTGAGAATGGAATTAAAATAAAATGATGTATGCCTGGCATATATCACAACCTTAATAAAGTTAGTTCATTTGCAAACCCCACATGAAAAAAAAAAAAGATCTACCAATGTTTTCCTAGCAAACCAGTTTATTTGGCCTAAATTTGGCACCTAAGTTACAGTATCTGAGGTATAAAAAATAGAATTGTGGGCTAAGGTATTTTTTGTACTTCACGTAAATCTTGCCACTGCCCATTTTTCCTCTTCTGCCAACCAATGCCTGGCAATTGCAGGTTATAGCCAAGAACACAGCTAACATCTTACAGCCATAGAGTACTTTAAATCTTTTGGTATGTCTCTAAAACATTCCCCAACTGTAGAAAACAGTTATTTCTGCTGGTAGGATTTTAAATGATGTTATAAACGTTCATTTTGTAACAGTACAGTACTGAAAGTTTTAATAAGAAGCAGTTATTACAAAAATAGTAACAAATACATCCTGGAAACAAGTCAGACACCAACTCCAGTTTGAAATGCCTTAGTTTGATAGCTCTCAGTTCTATACAATTCTGCCCTTCTCAACAGGGGACAACAGGTAATGTCTTGAGATATTTTTGTTAGAACTGGGGGTGGCACCAGTGGTATTCAGCAGGTAAAGGCCAGGTATGCTGCTGAACATGCTACAATGCACGGGAGACACCTGTACACACACAGAATCATCGGGTCCAAAATGTCACTAGTATCATGGGTGGAAAATGCTTCAAGATAAGAAAGCCAAGCTCTTTTTTCTGTGAGTCTGATCCCCATCTTCAATATTATTCTTTTGTAACTTTGCCTAACATTTTACTTTAGAGCCAATCTTGAAGTTTCTATTAATCCCAGGATATTGAACTCCATAACTTCAACTGGAATTCCAACACTGTTAATTTCTAATTTTATATGTACACTAAAATCAATAGAATCATACACTTTGTCATCAGGCTAACAATCAACTAGTGAAATTGCCATATAAAAGTAGAGAAGCTTATAAGCACATAGCTATCAGGATTTATAAATGACCATGAAGTCTAAAAATTCCAACTGTAAGTACCTATGCTGTAGAATACAGCATAATTTAGTGAAATTAAACTTTTAAGCCTCAGAACCTAGTCATCTCATACTTGCTTATAATTATAATCAACAGTAATAAACCTAATTTTTCCCCATAAACTCCCAGATCATTAGTAATACACTTGTCTTAATAGTTATTCAAATTTTTTAAATACTAAGGTCATGAATTTTTATGAATATAATAATTTGTGAAATGTTTGAAAGATTAACCTAAAAGCATTGGCTCTGTACATATTCACAAGTGAATATCAAATGTGATGAGGGGAATATACAAATATTGAAAATAAGCTTCCCAGCTGATTATGCTAAAATTGTCACATGAAAAAAATGAAGAAAAATCAAGCCTTCAGTAAATTATAAAAACTAAAACCAATCTATTCAAAACAAACAGAAAAACTTCAAAAGGGATGAGCCCATTAAACAAAATAAAAATCTAAGAAAAAGAAAATTGTTACCAAGAAAAATAGGTCACTTTACCTTTTAATGATGACAGGTAAAGTTGATATTTCTCTCCACCACATTTGATTCGTTGACAAAGTTCAGGCAGCAGTTTTTTCCACCACAATGTCTATCTTAGGAAAAAGTGAGTAAGTTTTAAGTTTGATGCATTTTACATTCAGATTTTCAATGACAACAGAAAGCATAAGGCAAAACCGCATCATGCTGTTTAAAAGACCACTCTCTTACATAAGAAGTTGTAGCAGCAGCCAGAATTTTGCTTAAACTTAACTTAGATATCTAAGTCATGTCTGTTAACTTGAAAGCCTAGTAATGTGCATGTACATGAACAAATACATATACACATAACATAATGTGTGTACATATATAGATCTATGTATATCTATGTGCATGGCTATTTTCTAGAGGAAACAAAGGCCACGTCCTGTTCTCACCTCTTAGGTGGCTAGAAAGAAGTATTGAATTTAAAACCCTTCTATTTTCTAAAGACCATATAGCATAGAAAATACTCTCCCACCATACATTACATTTCCAAAATCTTCAGGTAATAACTTTTTCAAGCAGGAGATTTTAATAAAGATAACATACCATCACCATACGTTTTAAAAGAATTTAATAATACTCAACACCATATTATACATATCTGCCAATTTGACCCACATCCTGCTGTGAGGTTGGACTATCATACCTGGTCCCCTTTTTGCTGATAAAGGACAATACTATCTGTAACTACTGATTTAGCTAAACTATAAACTGTTAGAGTTCTATCAAGTTACATAATCTGAAAAGCATACCCGATTCTCGTCTTTCAATTCATGATTGGCATAAGGAATGAGTGCCTCCGGGCACCTCTCTAACAGCATGTCTAGGCACTGTTCATACTCTTTCAAGCGTGTATGACATAAAATATGAATGCTGAGGCCAGCAACAGTGTCATCTGAGAGTGACTCCAAGAATAGACTCATGGAAGCTACAGCAAATGAAGGACTGCAGAGAAGAGACTAAGAAGAGAAAAATGGCATGTGAAGGAATGAATCAACCAAAAAACCAGAACATAACTTTTTAAAAAGTCTAATCATGATTTGCCAACAGAGGAGAATTTTTGAGCACATGTATCTGATACTATTTAATACAGGCAGACTGAAATATTAAATAATCTTGAAACAGCTCTAAAGAATAAAGATCTGTTTAATAAAAAGCAATCATTCTTTAAGCTTTGAATGTACTACAACATAAAATTAATAGAACTCTATTCTAAGAAAATAATCAACATTATAGTCAATGTTTTATATACACTAATTTTCATCAAAGGCAATCTAAACCTTAAAGAGATATAATTATATATATATATGAATTATATTCATACAATGGAATATTATATAGTCACTAAAATAAATTTAAGGCTAGTTAATGAGAAACTGCACACAATAAAATGACAAAAAAATCTGATACCAAGTTACATTCAAACATCAGTTTTGTAAACACTACACAGCTACATGCACATGCAGAAAAACCTTTGTAAGAGTTTAAAAATATGAAGCAGAGGTTAGCTCTCTAGATAGGAAACCAGAGGTGCCTTTATATATTTTTTCACACTTTCTATAACTGCATACACTACTTGTATAACCAAAAATAAAATTTAACATTTAAGAAAATTAAAGCAATTGTTAAGAACCTAATACATTTTTTTTTTTAAGATTTATTTATTTGTGCATACAGAACTGGGGTACAGGCCAGAGGCTCAGGGGCGGTGAGAGGCTTCACCAGAGACAGAGTGTGGAACAGAACAGGCAGATCGACGAAGTACACTGCTGAGGGGAGCAGCGGGCGGGTCAGGAGAGGTCTGCCACGCCAAGTGGTCACCTCCGGGGCAGGCGGGAATTGAACTCATGCGGAAGCGGCTTTAGATTCTCAGTGCTGTGCTTTAGCCCACTGAGCCACCAGGGAGGGCCAAGAACCTAATACATTTTATCAAAATCATCTGCCACAAACTGAAAGCACACAGCTTGTACTATTTTGGTATTCAGAATTTTACCAATGTTGCTTTTAAGCATGTATATAACTACTACTTTCAATTCTACCACCAAAATAATATCCACTTTCCTCTTCTACTAGATAAAGAGATGGTCATATTCTGATTGTCTTTTTCTTTTTGCAACAGCATCATCTCAGACTCACAGGAGAATATGGAGCATGAACTACCTACTTACAGTCAGCATGATTTTTTTTTTCATTATCTACTAAGGAATGACTAGAAGAGTAAGGTTGGTCCCTTTCCTTCCTACAAGTTGAATAACTGTATTCATCTGAATAATTTTCTTTGAAGATTTTATTTATTTACACATACAAGAAGTGGGGTACAGGCCAGAGGTGTAGGGGTGAAAGAATTGACCAAAGACAGAATGGGGAGCAGAACAGGCAGACTGATAAAATATATTGCTGAGTGGAACAATGGGTGAGACAGAAGAGGTCTACTGGGCCATGTGGGTCACCTCCCTGGCCAGAGATCAAGCTCATGCTGCAGTGGCTGCAGACAGCTTCATAGTGCAGTGCTTTAACCCACTGCACCACAGGGAGGGCCCTCATCTGAATAATTTTCTATCAATTAAGATGGCAAACATGAAATAGGATGATAAACTCTCATGCGTTGGTTCTGTCAACATTAAAGGAAACACAGATCAGTTTTCTATGGAAGTCTATGTAGATAACCGGGGTTATCTACAGGGAAGGAAGGAGCAAGGTCTGGGTAACTCAAACCAAGGTTAAAATGAACTGTCAGAACTGGTACAAATGGATTACCTACAGACTTTTTCTTGATTTTATCTGTCAAGAGGTTTAAAAATAAGAAGCATCAGACAACATATATATTTAGATAAAAAGTTCTCCAAGGAGAGTATTTCCCTTTATTTTTCTCTCCACCCAACACATGAATTACTTGCTCCCTTCTCTGATATATGTCTCTCACCCTCCTCAGCTGACTTTGCAGGGTTGGAATTCAGACTTGTCTTCTCTATGTACACAATCACAATAGTGACTGTCAAGGGACTGACAAAAGCAAACTGGGGAGAGGAGAACATGAGTTTTGGTCAAGGAAAGGACATTTACTTACTGTTGTTACCCAAAACCAACATTTTGACATGCAGATAATTTGTAGATTGATTTTAGTATTTACACAAATACACCAATATAGTGATTTCAGGACAAGAGACAGAGTCAATCAATCTCAGGTAGTGCTGGGGTAGGGAATGCAGGGGTGTCATGTAATTGTGAAAAAACTCTCCAGGTGATTCAGAACTACCCCTATTCCTCTAGGTGAGAACAAATGAGATCTGTGTATATATATGCCAAAATCAACTTTTAAAATTCCACTAAATTTCCAATTTTATTCTTCACTATACATTGCCCTGAATGCCCAAACTTAGCAATCATCTTCCCCCTTCCCTCTGTAACCATTCACTAGTTTTTCAGTATGAAAGTTTATTTTTTGTGTGTTTAGTTCATTTTTGTTTTTCCTTTATATGTAACATACAAGTAAAATCATATGAAGCTTGTTTTTCTCCTTCTGGCTAATAATTTGCAATAACTAGTCAATAGATATTTGGATTGTTTCGTATTTAAAAAAAATTTTTTTAAAAAAGTCACCATTAAAGACTACTTGAGAAAAAGTTAGTAATTAAAATTATTTTAAATAAAGAAATTAATTTGGCAATAAACATGAGTGTGTATATCTCTTCCAATTTATGTTATTTTCAGGTAAATGCCAAGAAATAGGATAACTAGATCTTACGGAATTTCTATTTTTAATTTTTTGAGGTATCTCCACACTAATTTCCATAATGGTCGCACAAATTTATTCTACCAACAGTGTATAAGGACTTTCTTTTCTCTACCTCCTCTTGTCTTTTGGATAACAATCATTCTCTAAGGTATGAAGTGATAGCTCATTGTTGCTATAATCTATGGTTTCCTCATAACAGGTTTTTCTTGCATTGTTCCATTCTTTGATTTCTTAATTGTGGCAGTTTTTTTGAGTTCTGTATCTGATAGGAAGAAAAGCTCTTCTGTGTCTTTGTGATTCAGTTCTGGAGATCTGTATCCTCTTTGTGGTTCTTTGCTCCCTTGGGGACTTGATTAGTCATTTGTATTTTTCTTTCACACTACGGTTTTCTTTTGGCTTGTTCTGCTTTTGTTGTGTGAGGTTCCTCTCTTCATTTTCCTGGGCATTTACCAGTTGGTAGACCCAGCAGCTGGGTCCTCATGGTGTTTAATGTGGTTCTGGAGTTCACCCTAAGGCTGATCAGGACTAGGATCCAGGAGTTTTGGTTTCCAGAACTGGGCAGGGTTGGGGGCCAGGCAGGGGGCATAGGGAGTGGCCTTGCAGATCACTTCAAGGTTACTGAAGGCCATATCTCTCTCAAAAGAAGAAATAATGAACATTACTTCAAGTGTCTACTGGCCACCTATATGCCTTTTGTGAAGAAGTATCTACCTATCCCTTAGCCTTCTTTAAGGTATTCATTTTTATTATTATTAAATTGCACCGTTTCTTTGTATATTTTGGATATTAACCCCTTGCCAGAATATACTGTATAAATTATTTTCACATTCAGCTGAATGTCTTTTCATTTTCGTGCACATTACTTTCACTGTAGTAGAAATTTTTTGGTTTGATGTAAAACCATTTATGTTTGCTTTTGCTTCTATTGCTTTTGGAGTCAAGTCCCAAATATAAATCTAAAACCAATGTCAAGGAAGATATTCCTGTTTTCTTCTATTTATTTTATGGCCTCAGGCTTTATATACTAGTTTAATCCATTTTGAGTTAATTTTTGTGTATGGTGTGCATATAGCAGAATAGTGTCCCTCTTTTTCATATAGTGGTTCAATTTTTCCAGCACTATTTATTGGAGAGACTTTCCTTGTTGGTGGTAAGCACTTGGTTTCTTTGCAGTAAATTAGCTGTTCATATGTGTTGGGTTCTCAGTTCTGTCACTGACCTGAGGATCTATTTTTATCCCAATACTGTGTTTTTTTAATTACTTTCTCTTTGTATTATAGTTAGAAGGTGAGGTGCTTCATAACTCCATTTTTGTTCTTTATTTTCAGAAGTATTTTTGCTACTCAGTAGCAAAACTTTTTGTGGTTCCAAATAAAATTAATGAATTTTTTTAAATTTCTGTGAAGAATGTCAGTGGGATTTTGATAAAGATTGCACCGTCTCTGTTTACTGCTTTAGTAATATAGCCATTCTGATGATGTTACTATATCCAAACCATGCACACAGATTATCTTTGATTTGATTCTTCTATTTCTTGCAACATCATCCTATAGATGACTGTATACAGATTTTTAACTTCTTTAATTAAATTTAATCCAAGGTATTTCTTTTGCATGTAATTGGGGATAGGATTTTTTTCTCTTTTTGTTAGTTATTTTTGTCTAGGCATGCAAATATTGCAGCCCCACTGAAGCAGCAGCGGAGGTAAGAGTGGGCCAGTGAAGGCCACTATTGGTGGCCACAGCAACAGGCTGGCATATGCGCAGTCACCACCTCCCAGCCAAACACAAATTAATCACAGGGTGTGAGTGTGGCAGTCCAGAACTTCCCCCACTAAGAGACTCAAATTTCATAGGTTATGGCCCACAACAGAAAGGAAAAGCAGGGAAGCAGGGAAGTGGAGTAAAGACAACTTAAGCTCAGAATGCAGCCAGCTGTGAAACAAAAGAGGAGATATGGAAGCAGTGTCATTCCTTAAATTGTGATCAAGTATTAAAGCCCCAAACTTCCCTCAGCCCCACTCCTCATACTACTTAAACTGAGAGCTAAACAAAATTAAATCCCCACTGCTCCACCCTCACATAGAAAAAGCAAATAAAGCAACACATATGCCTAGTAAGCAAAGGAAGCAAAATGAGAAAAGAAGTCCTAGAACAAATACAAAGGATATAAAAATGGAGAAAAAAAGACTTCAAAACAACAGTACTAAAAATGGCAAATGAGCTACTACGAAGTCACCAACTGCAGATAGGTTAGTGCAAGACCTTAGAAAGGGCATTCTGGAATTAAGGAAGTTCTTCAACAAAGAAACTGATTACCTAAAAAGATCATAAAACAAGATTCTGAATGAAATGCAGACAAATTTAGGAAGTATTTTAAGTAAAATTAAACAAGCAAAAAAAAAAGAAGAATTACAGATGATTACAGATGTAGAAGATGAAAATGAACTAATCAACCATTTACAAAAGTCCAATAAGTAAAGAAAAATGAGGAAACTATGAGAGAAACTGGATAAATGGAGTTTCAGAAGGTGAAGAGAGAGAGATGGCAACAGGAGCCCTATTCAAAGAAATAACTGATAATTTCCCCCAAAATAATCAATTAAATATGGGTATGAAGGAAGCAGAATACCTAATTTTAAATGCAAAAGGACTAATCTAGACAAATACTACCAAACTATTAAAGATCAAAGATAAAGAAAAAATTTGACAGATATAAATAACAATAGCAACATAAAAAAACAAGGTAAAATACACCTTGTAGAAACCCGACTTCATGAAATAATTTAATAATTATCAAAGGGAACAGCAGGGGCAGAGACGGATAGAGAGGGAAGCAGGTGGGATTACTGGCATGGGAAGTTTGGTGGCCAGTGAGTGGAACACGTGTACAACTGGAAAAGCAAATGTGTAACCCCCAAAATGAAAATGAAGATAACAGGAAACCTACATCAACAGGAAACCTGAGATCTAACCAAATTTAAATCTTATGTTACATTGTTAATATGTATGAGCATATTACTTACCTGTAATTTTGAAAGGTCTTCTGCATAATTTTTATCTGGTAATGTTTCAGATGATAATAAGACATGAACCCATGGATAGATTAAACCATAATGACTACATGCATTTATCTAAACAAAAAAAAAGAAATTTTACATAAACAAAAATAAAACAAGATTTTTTATCCATCTTACAAAGACCAAGAATCATTAATCCTCTGCTGTGTTTCAGAACTAGGCTTATACTTTTCTAGGAAGGGGAAGGAAAGCCTTTTACAATATAGTCCCCTGGAAGCCTTGCTGCTTCTCCCTGAATAAATCTGCACTAAAATATTTCCTTACATTTAAAATTTCAAAGAATTATAAAGCAACACTTTTTATGTAAAGTGCCATGCTGTTTTACCTTATTTTAAAAAATTTAACAGTAATACTGAAAATAATTTCCATCTTTATTACTTTCTTTGGGAGACACAAACCTCTTCCATCCAGTTTTCAAGACAATTCCAGGAAATTTCCCTTACTCAAGAAATTAGTGACTTTTCCAGTGAAATCACAAAATACAAATGAGTCAGGAAGGAGCACCGAGGGGAAAAGGTTAAAAAAAAACAAAAAACATTTTTAGGGCTGCCATTGCCATGAGAGTTATAGAACTGCACTTGTGTGCAAACAATAAGTGAGGGTTCAGTGACGAAGTATTTCCCACAAGTCTCTGCCATTGCTGTATCACCAGGTAAGTCTGCTGATGTCTCTTTTTTCATGAAGGTTACTTCAGGACCTCACCCTCGGGGAGAAAGGATGCGAGATTTTGAGACAAGTTCTTTCCCCCCTGTCTCTGGTTGCTGAGATACAACTGCAAATAGATAATATGGGAGGAGTAGAGGGTGTTCCTTAGAATATAAAATTACTTAGCATGTAGGCCACTTCACTCACAGACGAGTTTTGAGAGAATTTTTAACTCCTGTTTAAGTGAGATACCTGGTAATATATGAATCAGGGTTGATTCTAAGTCATAAAAAAGAAGGCCCATTATAATGTTACGATGTAGATAAGGTTAACATATTCTCTCATTATCTTACCAGATCTTCTGATGTTTGCAATGGTGTGGTATCAGGGGGCTGCCTCTTAGATAATCTCCAGATGTACTGTGATGTGAGTTTGAGGAAGAGTTCCTGATGTACCACATGAGGGTTACATGCTACCAGCCGAGCTTCCCAGAAGTCTACCAAGAGCTGAGGAACTGTACCTTCACCCTTATCACAGAGCACCTTAAACAATGAAACAAGCCCCCAACACACAGTTAAATATATCACTGATCAGGTTACAGCTGGTTTGAATATCACACCATCATGTAGAAAATGCATTTAAAAAATTTACCATTAACATAAGGGCCACAGCAAAAACACACTGAGACATTTTAACAGGAAAAAGTTTCTAGGCTACATGAATACAATTTCTCCAGAAACTTTATTTAATTTTTATTTTGTTCTATAAACTGATTGTGTGTAAGTCTGGTTTTTTTCCCGAAAAAAAATTGAAAAGCTTACTTCCCTTATCTTGCTCCCCACTCCCACCACTTTTACCAGACCAAGCAGAATAATTATATTTTAAAAGTGCCAAACCTTGAAGAAGGAATCTGCTTCTTCAATTCCAATATGGCTGCTCTTCTGCAAGCCTAGGATTGATGCCACCAGCAATCCAGGCTGAGTTTCCTTCAAGTAAACAGCAAACTCAGTTGGACAAATCTGTCCCTTTCTCTGTTGAATTAATAGCCGAGGTTCCAGACTGAAGCCACGTACGAAGTTCATCTTCAGATAAAAAAGAAATTTAAAAGCATAAGGTATTCAGATTGTCTACCTTGGGAATATATGCTAGCAATTCAAGTTTTGTGGTTAAGTTATTAATAGTTTATATCATGTCAACTTTTTCTTTAATTACAAAGAGTAGTTATCACTCTAAAAAGGATATCATTGTTTACTATCTTTACAAGAGTTACTACAATTAAACATCAAAATATCCTATTTTTGTAGAGTTTTAAATTTAGGCTTATTTGAATTAAAAATAATATACGTTAAGGTTTTTCCAAAATTACGGAAAGAAAATTCACCTAAAATTTACTCTTCAAAGTAGACAGCATCTCAGCGTTGACTTGCTCTTCTTATCATAACAAAACATGTCATTTGTACAGTGATAAAGCACTCCTACCCTTCTTTTTTAGAAATCAAAGCCATACTGTGGACATCTTAGTAAAGCTGAAAGATTTCTGAATTATCTCCTGTTACCATTTGTCATACTTTGTTGTTGTTGTTGTTGTTAGATATAAAGCTCCAACTAATACCCACTTTGAGTCACTTGCTTTCTAATATCATTTTCCAATTAAGAAAAATGAGCTATGGGCCCTCCCTCGTGGCGCAGCGGGTTAAAGCACAGCACTAAGAAGCTAAAGCCACTTCCTTATGAGTTCGATCCCTGCCTGCCCTGGAGGTAACCCACATGGCACAGCAGACCTCTCCTGACCCACTCACTGCTCCCTGGTGAATCCCCTCACTGCCCCTGCACCTCTGGTCTGTACTCCAGTTCTGTATGCACAAATAAATAAATCTTAACAAAGAAAGAAA